AGGTACAGCAAGAGCCAGAGAAAACCCCCCAAGTAGGAGAGTGTGCATGGGTGGGATCCCTGCTGTAGGAGACATGAGGCGATTCTCCATTGGTCTTCCTGAAAGTATTCTCTAATCACACAGGCTCACATAGGGGCATGGACAATCCAAAATCATCATTGACTTTTGGGTACGCACTCTGTGTTCACATCTGCATGTGCTTCTGTGATCTGAGACTTTACAATGTCTTGGGCAAAATGAAGATGCATCTGCAGAACAGACACAGGTGCCTCAAACATTCTTTTCCCTTTCTAGCTTTCTGATCAATTCTTCCATTCACCCCCACATTTTTGCCTTCAGTCACCTGCACATGGTTAGATTTAAGGATCCATTCTTTTATTTTATTTTTTTCTCTCTTTTGAATTTGTTCTTTTTAGATAGACATGACAATAGAGAATATTCTGACCTATTATACATACATGGAGTATATCTTATTCTAATATCTGTCGAATTTTTCAATGAGCAAATGTTTATTCAAATGAGAACATGATAGTATGCTTAATGCCAAAACTACTAGCTACAATCTAACTGTATATGATTTGGGGGGAATTATTAGAGTTTTATGAGGTCCCAAGATTATCATTAAGAATTCTAGTCATCATTGCTCCAAAGGGTTCAGATTGTTAAATTGTCATATTAATCCCCAAAGAAACTGTTAATTCACCTTGCAAACATTTGAGTCTGTGGATGCATTAAGTAGATGGCTGCAGCCAGCCCCATTCCCGGAGTGTGGGGCTTGGTGCTTCTCCTCTCCCCGGCCACCCCAGTCTGCTTTACTTCTCATGATGGCTGTTTTGAAAGACTTCACTTCAGAAAAATAAGACTATCCCACACTAGAAATCGTCTCACTCACTAAACCAAGGAGATTCTCTGTTCCCACTTATGTAGCGAAATTTATGTAGCAATTAGCTATCCTAAGAAAATCTAAATAGATGATGGTGTGTGGCCAAAAATCTTTTTCTGATAAGATTTACCTTCAATAATCACTAGATTTTGGGTTTTTTTTGCATATTCTTATTAGAGATAATCGTTATAAAATTCACTTCGAATCGTGATTAAAGAGTATTTAGACAGATAAGATTTGTTAAGTACCTATCAAAACGTAGGCACTGAAGATGTAACCAAATCAGCCTGTCTTTTCCCTAAGGTTAATTTCAAACTAACAAGTGAGAAACTCATGCTGGGGAATGAATGGTCAATCCGTGGTAGATTCCATGAGAGAAGGCTACGTAGGGTGAAGTGAGGATTCAGTGGAGGAAATGGCCATCTTGTCTGAGGCATGACTGAAAAAGGGTCATGGTATTAAGACAGCCAGGAATTTGCTGGGGCAGGACAGGCATTCCAACAGACAGAAGGGCATGAACCACAAGGCTTGGAGGTTTTAAGCAACCAGGCGGCTTCCACCAACTTCAGGTTCTAAGATTAGAGGGTTAGGGAGTGGGAGACGGCATGAGGATGTGACRGGAAGCAGCTCATATTGATCTTAGAAGTCCTACAGAGGAAATTGACTTTTGCCCATGACAAAGCTAGACCTATCCCCCTATCTTTTGCCAGTGGTGCTAACTTGACTTCTGCTAAACGAACAAGTGGGTGCCATAATCCTGAACTAGGTAGTTGGATGCCATGATCCCAAGATGAACACTCCATGTAGGATCCATGTCTATGGTGGAGGTCACCCCAGCTAGTCCAGTGCTTCTCTAACCTGTGAGCCTGGTATCACTAGACTCAGTGCCACTCAGACTTGGCTCTTCTCCTAGGGAGGAAAGACACTTGGAGGACTTTGGGTTTTTACAAGACATGCTTGTATCTCCTCCCCAACCTCAGACCCCATATCCTAGACTCCACATTTGGCAGTCAAAATGTTTCCATTCAGAGTTTACTGTTTGGCCTCTTAGGCTAAAAAAATAATGTTTAAACATCTATCGGGATGGCATAGCATATCAAGAATAGAGTGCCATTAAAAAATGTCAAGCATGAGCATGGCGTAATCAATTTTCTGTTGTGGAATGATCCCTTGATTTCAGTACACAGTCTGGACTGGAGCAGAGAGGCCGGTTGGAACCTTGAAGGAATCCAGATGAGAGAAAAAAAGTCCTGTCCATGTAGTAATGGTGGTGGAAGAGAGGAGGGCAGGGCTTGCTCTCCAGGAGACGCAGGAGTGAGAGGCACTGAAGGGCCCTAGGGCTTCTGGCTTGAACACTGTCAGAGGGAGATGCCCCTTCCCACCACCCTGCTTTATGAAGATGAACCTTTTCCAAAATGCTGCCGGGCTTTTTTTCTAGCCCTGATTATTGTCCTGGTTCGTAGGTAACTACCTCTTGTTCAAGTTTCTAAGGGTGAAGTTCCCAGGTGGGGGTCTAGCCTTTCGATCCTCCTTAGGCACGCTCACTTGGGGGCAGGAAACTGGGAAGCGCCTTTTCTTAAACTCTAGTCTCCTAAGTTCTGCTTTTCCATAATAACGGTGATATTTCGGAATGTGCTCGACTTTTTGACCTAATTTTTCAATTGGTAAATATCTTCGAAAGAGAGCTACCTTTTAAGGAAATCGCTTTAGAGCCCCAAAGCTGTGTTGATCCCAGATGCCCACGGGACAGGGGCAGTGGACTCAGGGCTTAAACGCAGAGAGGTCAGGCCACAGAGACAGGAAGTGGGAAACCCACAGGTGGGATCAGATGACCCAATCAAGTGGGAAGTCAGGTGGTCTCCAACCTTGGCTTGGGTCAGTCGTCCCCYGTGACTAGGGAGATGTTCAGTACCCAGCTTTGGGGATGGCATGGACATAGCTCTGGGCTGGTGAGAGGTGTCTGCGTTTTCTAAAAAAAAAAAAAAACTTGAGTGTGATCCTGATGCTCACTTCACAGGGCTGCAAAACCCTGGAACTTAACCTGGGAATGTTGAGTTTTCAGACAAAGCCTCAGGAACCGCATTTAAGAGGAATCTGGGTTGTCRGGGTCTGTGGATCAAAAACCATTTGATAATGACTTATAATGAATAATAGTAACATGATGGGATTCCCAAGGACCTGAATAGCACACCAGCTTGTTACCGAAGAGACAAGTTCATTTCAAGTTCTGGGATTTTTTTTTTAAAACAGTAATACATTAAAAATGTTCATTCTGGATAACATAATGAATCTGATCTCTTTTTTTTTTATCTTTTTCCGACAGCATGGCCAGATCTTGTGTTTCTAATTAGTCCACATTTCAGATGTTATTTAAGTTGATGATGGTCTCAGAATGAAAGAAAAAGGGGCATTTGGTTCTAGCAATAAAAAATATTATGGGAAATTCACTGAGTCCATCTTTGCACAGTATCTAAGAAAAATAAGCAATCCTTTGATCGTTAAGGAATCAATTTAATTTAAATCCTTGTAAACAAAAAAAATGGGGTTGCATTTACATTCCTTCAAAGTGTTTGTGTGATCATGGGAAAACTACTTGAGTCCTTTGTCTTAGTTTCCTCATCTGTAAAATAAGGACAATAGCAAGATGTGTCTCATAAACCTCTGAGGATTAAATGAGAATGAGATAACACATGTGAAGCACTTAACATAGTACTCTAGGTACATAACAAATGTTCCATGACTGACAACCTAAAATGTTAAGACTAAAAGGCCCTAGCACTTACAGACAGGACTGGCTTAACTCTTTGTGATTCTAATGTGGGAGCACCATAACAAGATTTTAACTTAATGCACATTTCTCAGGCCTCTGAGAACAAGGAAATTTTCTCTGTGAAATAGAGACCACATTCGTTATGGACCACACTCCTTGGCTGCATGAACGATTAGCATCATGGACTGCTTTGTAAAGTTCCTTCTCTAAGAGCTTATTTAGGGTGACTGGGCCTGGGTGGATAGCAACACAGTACAGCTTAAAGAGCATCTCCCTGATTTTGTGTGAGAGGAGAAATACATACATAATGAGGCCCTGTGTTGTAGACCAAAGTGTGCTCCCCCAATTTATGTTCAAGCCTTAACCCCCAATGTGACTATATTGGGCTTTAAGGAGGAAATCAAAGGTAAATAAAGTCATAGGGATGGGGCCCAATCTGATAGGACAGGTATCCTCATAAGAGGAGAAAGAGACATCAGAACTTGCCTGTGCACCCTCTCTCTGTCTCTGTCTCTGCTGAGGAAAGGTCTTACCAGGACATAGATGCCAGGAAGAGAGCTTTTACCAGGAACCAACCCTGTTGGCAACTTCATCTTGGACTTCTGACCTCTGGAACTGTGAGAAAATTTTCTGTTGTGTAAGCCACTGGATCTGTGGTCTTCTGTTATAGCATCCCAAGCTGCCTAATACACTCTATAAGCTCCATTATCCAGTAGTGCTGGGGAATTATAGCTCTACAATTATTAGCTCCATAGAGGAGCACCTACTTTGTGATGAGCAAAGTACTAAGTATTGGAGAGTCAAAGATAAGTAAATTTCTTGCTTCTAGGGAGCCTGCAATTTAGTGAAAGGACAGATGCTCAAGAATAGGTGATAAATTAAAATGATAAATGCCATGACTGAGAGCATGCACAAAATGCCATGGAAGCAGACGGGAACAGGGTGCACAGACAACGGTAGAGATGACCACACTGGGACTCCATGAGGAGGAGGAGAAGTTGTTTCAAGTGGACGATAATAACTACATGTTGTGTTGTGTTGAGTTTGAAGTGTGCGAAGTGCATTGGAACCAAGATGACCAGAGGCAGTTGAGCAAGTGGATCTAAAACTAAGGCAAGAAAGAAATCAAGGTTAGAGAGCTATATTGGAAAGGAGTAGCACATAGGTGGTAGTTGATGTGCAAGGGTGAAATTGCTATGGAAGAGTGGACAGAGTGCAGAGACAGTGAAAAAAACACCAACAAAACAGAGAAGAAATAGAAAGGAAGGACTGGACCAAAGGAGAATGAATGGAATCCGAAAAGCCAAGACAGGATTTTCAGGATAGTCTCAACATTTTCAAAATACGAGTTTAATGACCATTAGTTACTACTATTCCACAAAAAGATTGCCCTAATTTCAAAAAATTTGCGTACTATCTTATATTTGTTAACAGATTGAGAAAATAAATTAGAAATTGTACTGCACACTGAATACTAAACCTATCAAGCATAACGTAACTTTCAGACAGTTCAGAAGGCACTTTGGGTCTTGTTTTTTTCTTTCCACCCGTTTCCCCATGGCCTCAGGGCATCATTATGAACTCCAATTATTTTATTGCCCTGGTCAACTGTGGGAGTGCTGATAAATTGACCACTGGATAAAGCGACCTTTACATGGGGAGGCTCACTAGCAGCACAGAGAAGGGGTATTCAATGCCCTGCTCAGACTAAGGGGCCAACTGATCCACGCAAAGACATGAGCCCAATCCCAGGAGAAAAATAAAGAGCCTCTGAGCCTTCGGTCTCTTCCCTTCTCCCCCACTGCTGGTGAATACGTGAGACTTGTCACCTGGTAGGAAGTTCAGAGAGCAAAGCAACCTCCCGCCCCAGCATCCGAACAGCCTAGAAATGACAGTGACACCCAAACAGAAGTCCCGAGGCCTCTCAATAGCCATCCAAGGGCTCCAGTCAGAGTCCACCGTTGTTCTAGGTCTGAGAGCTGAATTGATAAATAGTGTGCCCTCCCTGGGCTCTGATGACAAGGTCACACCGTGCTTGTGAATTAGCCAACGGTCATGTCTGTTACCGGCACAGTCAAAGGTGACAAGTAAACTTAAGGAGAGGTGTTAGGAGATGGTTCTGCCCAGACTGCCAGATTCAGGCATGGCTGAGACCCTGGATGGTCTAGGAAAGAACCAGAACTGTTGTGTGACAGTCAGGACAGGTCAACATGKAACATGCCTCTCCTGTCACCTGCTGAGTTGGACTGCTGGATTTGAAAAGGCGTCTGCTGAACTGTACTGCTCCTGATGGTGTGGGAGACATTGTTGGGAAAAGGAACAGAGTCGGCTAGGTGTGAGGCGGGGCTGCTCTCGGCCACCCTGGCCATCATGTGGTTGGAGGTGGCTGGGATTTTTGTCTTCATCCAGAATCACTTGGAGTCGGAGCTATTCATCATCGTCATCATCACTGTCATCATTCTCCTCTTCATCAGAATCATCATCGTCATCCTCATCGTCCTCCTCGTCATTGTTGTTATCATCGTCATCATCTTCGTCTTCGTTGTCATCATCTTCAGTGTTGATCTTTCCAGAAAGCACATCCTCAATCCAGTCTTCCAGCTCCTCCGCTGTGGGCAGGTCATCATCGTCTGGAATCTCCATCCAGACACTGTCCGCCTGCAGCAAGGGACACAATGAACCAGTGAGCAGGTGCATGAGGGCAGGGCCAGACCAGAAGGTTCCAAGCAGCTATGTTGACGTGGCCCACCATATGTCTTACACCTATCAGGAATATGTACACATTGTTAAATGCCAAGGTGCAGAATGGTATGTGCAGTGCCCTGTTCGTGTCACATAAATTGAAATGTGCATCCCACTGCCCAATGGCTGTACATGTATGTGAAATTTCTGATAGGATACTCATGCAGCAACCAGCAGGCCTGGTAGTGCATGCCTATACTCCTAGCTCCTGGCAGGGTGAAGGTGGGGGCTGAGGCAGAAGGATTGCAAGTTCAAAGCCAGCCTCAGCAACTGAGCGCAGATCTAAGCAACTTAGCAAGATCCTATCTTAAAATTAAAAATCAAAAGGACTGGACATATGGCTCAGTGGTAAAGTGCCCCTGGGTTCAATCCCCAGTACTGCAGAAACAAAACAGAACAGAACAAAATAACAACGAACCCAATGTAACAAGAACCAATGATTTGTCAAGGAATGGGACTAGGGATGAAGTTAAGGCAATGAGAGGGGAAAAAAAACAAACCACTTTTCCTTTTCATTTATTATCCTACTATTTCATTTTTATCATTTATATCACCTACTTCATTTATACCCCCCTATTTTATTTAAATTGTTTTAACTTGAACATATATTCATTTATTTATATTTAGGTACTGGGGATTGAACCACTGAGTTACATCCCCAGACTTTTTTATCTTTTACGATAAGACAGGGTCTCACTAATTGCTGAAGCTGGCATCCAACTTGCAATCTTCCTGCATCAGCCTCTCAAGTCTCTGGGATTACAGACATGCACCACCAAGCCCAGAAAGCATATTTTTAAGATTATTTTTTATTATTACTAATTCTAAAAGTAGTTTACAAAGTAAATGAATGTAGAGCTCCCTGGGTGATTGAACAACTAACAACAGGGCGAGAGGACATTGCTAATGGACCCTGTTCACAAGATGGTCGACTTCAATTACTATGGCTCTAATGCGGGCTCTGGTGATCATCGTTTCTGTCTGCTGTTTGCCTGGTTGAATCTGTCCTCACTTGTTATGGTGGAATTGCATCAGAGTCTGGGCTGAGGTCTGAAATTCCTCACACTCTGCCAGTCCAGCTCACTGGTTCTTCTCACCTTAGTTCACCAGCACCTGAACTGTGAGAAGAATCCCCTTAACTGTGTAGGATTTTCTTCCTTCTCTTCATGGCCTGCTCTCCAGCTGTGGGGTAGTTGCATGCATGAGCTTCTGCACCACAACTACCCCTCGTTGAGGATACAATGACCTCTCCAGGTGTGGGCTCCCTTATGTGAACAGACCTTGTTGTCTGGCATTGGGAAGGAGAATTTTCTTGGGTGGAAGGTTATAGATTGATGAGTTGGACCAGGCTGGTCTCAAGCAAGGGAATGTACCCAGGGAGCAAAGCCATGGAACTGTAGCTTAAGACTGGCTTCAAAGACCAGGTTTGGCCACAGTGGAAAGTTTCCTGAGCTCAGGCAGGGCCAAGGGTTCTGCCCGTCTCTAAAGCAGCTGATGATCTCACAGTCTGGGCCACAGAGCAGCAAACCATGCCCGCTGAGGGTGCCTGAGCAAACCTTCATGAAGGATACTCACGTCTGTCACATTCACCACCCCAATCTGTGGCTTGAATAGATCAATCTTGAAAGTCTTCTCCCAGTAAGCAACAAGCTGCAACAACAACAACAAAAAAAAATCAGATTAGACAGCAAGCAGAAGGTGATCCCTGTTAAAGCCACTCTTTGTGGCTGGACTCACCTGCCATTCTACCATAGTAACTGGGTCACCATGGGTTCAAGGTCTTCCGCACACTTGTGGGTACTTAGGAAATTGAAGACTTGGCCCCAGCCCTCAGGCACTTTAAATAAGCACTTAATAAAAGATGTCATAGCCCAAACTACGAAAACATATAATATAAAAGCTTCTACAGCTGTAAGGAAGAAAATTACAGAGATGGTCCAACACTGATTCCCAAATTACTTGTGGCTCTTTTTATAGTTCAAGGTGATGAAAGAGCTGTTTCCCTCCATCTCTCTCTCAGTGTTCCATTCGAAAAAATCCCTCATCTTGGGCCACTTTGCTATAAGAAATGGCCAAAAAAAAAAAAAAAAAAGCAGTGATCTACCATAAGTTGGCATAAAAAATAAATAAGAGGAAGATTTCTTCATTCAGCCAGGCTTGGGCTCCAAGTGGACAAATATCTGGAACAGGACTGCAGGAGCCAGAGGCCATCGGGCTGAGAAAATAGAGACACCCATTGGTAAAAAGTGTCCCAGGGAAATATAGGGACTGATGAGCACTGGGATTTTCAGGAATCTGGAAATCACAATAGTGTGAAGCTTACTCCTTTGCAAAAACCAAGGCAAACACACAGAAGTGACCAAGAGCATTGCAGATTAACTACAAGCTTACATAACAAAATAGTAAGACAAACAAGAAATACAACCAGGCAGAAGCAAATTAAAAAAAAAAAAAAAAAAGCTGTGCTCTGTTCAGTCATATATGGCCAGGACTTTCTAGAATGACTCAGAATTATAACATTGGCTTCAAGTGTCATAGAAGTCCCTGCCTTTGATTCACAGGATTGGGATTCTTGGGAGATAAAGTTTTCATTTACTGAGTGATAACTTATACTTATTACGTGCAGTTAGCTCTACTGGAAATGATCACCATAGACCTAGGTTGGCATATCTCTTCAGCTGTCATTCTTTTCATCTGTCTGATAGAGATCATGATAGCACCTGTGACACAGGGTTGTTGAGGGGAGGACTTGTGATGGTGCACGGACAGAACTCCATGTAGTTGCAGATACCCAGTAGAGGGCATTATCTAAATTCATAACCATTACTACCGGATTCACGTACCATACAAATTCTCTTTATTCTTTTTAAAGCCAAGCATAATGAAAGCTTCCTTGATCATTGACACTGGTTAGTGTTCGGACTCTAAGGTTCTTGCACCTTTAATACATGTTACATACTCCCCAGCTCCTGGGGGACGCACCATGGATGAGGTAGGCATGGTCTCTGCCCTCTAAGAGGTCTCTCCACCAAGTTCTTAACTCTTCAAAAAAATATATTAATCTATGGATTTTATTATGTAGTCATTCAAGTTGCTTCAAAATGATGGTTCCTGCTGGCCAGAGCAGTGCACGCCTGTAATCCCAGCAGCTCAGGAGGCGGAGGCAAGAGGATCCCAAGTTCAAAGCCAGCCTCGGCAATGGTGAGTCACTAAGCAACTCAGTAAGACCCTGACTCTAAATAAAATACAAAATAGGGCTGGGGATGTGGCTCAGTGGTTGAGTGCCCCTCAGTTCGATCCCCGGTACCCCCTTCCCACAAAAATGATGGTCCTCACCCAGAAAATGAAAGGTGATACAGGGAGGGACAGTGGTGGTCGAGGGGCATCGATGGAGAATGGCAGAAGGAATCCACCCTGCCCACTTGGGTGGGTCTCTCTGACAGTCTCCAACTCCTATCTCTGGGTTATGAGAACCGTAGTAAGTCTGGCCATTTCAGTGACCGCACCAGGCCCCAAGTTCAATGCTCTCCCATGAGCCAGGATCTCCCACACCACAAGGGGTGGCCCCTGGGCTTCTTTAAGTGCCCTGACTTATTTTATCTCCTCCCTCATGCTTGAGAGCCTCATGCTACACACAAACATGAGACTGAAGGTGACCAGAAATGGGGCCCTGGCCCGAGCCACTTACCAAAGGAAAGTCATCTGGGTCGATCCACACGATGCTCAGGTCAGGGTTGTCAGTGTTGTCCCGGGCCACCTGTTTCAGGATCTCCAGGAACTCATAGCCATCTGAAGTAGGATTCAAGAAGGTTGAGTCACCCCTGCACACACATGGCTTCCCACACGGAGAGCGGAGAGCTCATCTTTCCATGAGGGTGTCTTAGGCCATTTGGTGTGTACCCTCAATTATAGGATGAGTCTATAAAATGAGTCATATGAGGGTTCCAGCTACAAAGCATCTTATAGGAAGGAAACTCTAAAAGTTTTCAATAAAGAAATTAAAAGCTCACACAGAACTGACCAGTTTCTAACCTAAAGCCAGGTCCCATTTTTTTTCACTTGCATAGCCTTAGTGAACAAGCTTAGTGCCCAAGCAGATGACCCTTGCCTGTCCCCAGTGACCCTGAGCCATCTCTTACAGCATGTGCTATCCGTCAGAGTTTCCCCACATCTGCTCTCTGGGTCAAGGGCATTTAAGTCTTCCCTTGGTTCTGTACAACCTGGAATTCCTAAAATCTTCCAACATAGTGTGCTCCTCATCCACAGTCAAATGGGGCTTCCCACTCCCTCCTTCACCAGTTCTGTTTGTACTCTGCCCTCCCTCTGTTCAGTCAGCAGTATTCACTGCCCTCAGGGAGGGATGATTCATATAGGAAAAGCAGAGACAAGGCTTCTAACCTTCAAGAAACAAACTTTCAAAAGCCTAAACCTTAAAGAGCTGGTGCATAAAATCTTCACTCTAAGCAAAAATCCTAGAAGAGCTCTTTGGTAAGAGATGGCATACTATAAACCCTCAGTGCCACTATTCTATCCCTAGCTAGAAGAGATAAGAGTTTAAATTCTGGCAGGTCCCTGAGAATAAACAGTGTGTGTGTGTGTGTGTGTGTGTGTGTAAATGTGTGTGTGTAAGTTTGTGCAGGAACCCGAGCTGTGTGTGCATATGTGTCCACCTGTAGAATCTCCATAAGGTCAGGGAATCCAAAAGTAGAGAGGACTCACACTTTGCTTCAGAATAAAACTCAGGCAAATGGAAGTCCCCAGAGTGTTTTAGAGAAGCCCTTAGCACGAGGGCAGAAGGAGTCAGGAGGCGTCACGGAGCAGTCTGTGCTTCTGAGGAACATGACGAGAGTCAAGATGGAGGCAGACCTGATGATTTACTACCGTTAAATAGTAAGGGACTGCGCCAGTGGTGACCTGCTTAGAACAAGGGCCACAGGGCAGACGGAATGACAGACTTCTCTGAAGAAGCCCATGTGGACAGATGATGATGACCCCACCAGCTATGCCTGGGAACCAGCAAGACCCCAGTCCTCAGGATGGTTGGGTGGGGTTGAGGGACAATGAATTCGGTGGTACACAACTCCAAGTAGACATTGAGGTTCAGCTCTCAACGATTCAGTTACTTTCTCGCATAGCTGAATTTATGGCCTGAAGTTTAGACGTTTTATATAAACAGCTCACCGACTGCTTGAGAATTCAGTCCAGCAACTTCCCTTTCTTTGAAAAGCATCTTCCTTCCTCCCAACTTCCCACCCATGCCCCCTGGCCTCAGTTTAACAAAACTCCCTCTCCAGCAACTGGCCTCTGTTTGGCTATTTCAGCCCTTTGGCCAAAGTGTTGCTTACAATTCTTCTCTAATATATTCCAGATATAACGCATACTATTAGCAGCTCTGCTTTGGGTGGGTGTAGTCTCTTTAAATATTACTAACTCCTACTGAGGAGTCCCACTGGTGCTCTTAGGCATTATTACCTGGAAATCAAAGTGACAGCTAATGGAGAAGAGGGTCTTTATGGCCTGCAGTCTCTTCCTGCAGAGATGACTGTGTTGGCCTAAGTGGTTTGTCAATCTCTGCTCATCCTTATATTGCAAATGAGATTATATGGCAGTCATCTGAGATTGACAGGTCCTGTGCTTTAGAGTTCGTGCATCTATCACCTCGGGGATGAGGACAGGGATAGAGGAGGCAGGGGTGGGGTTCTGCTCCTGCTTCCTGTAGGTGTGACTGAGAAGGTCAAGCCCCTCCAGAATGTCACCAGCTGTTCTATGTGGTGACTGTGGCTCTCCTCCAGGCACATGCCCATGTCATAGGAGAAGGAAATAAGGAAATGCACAGAGCATCTGTGGATTTATGGATCATAATGCACAGACAGCTAGAAGGAAGCCCCCCCACCAAAAAAAATCTACAGTTACTGTTTTCAGCAGCAGAGAAGAAAAGGAAGAATAATTGAGGTGACATTGCCTATTTTCTGGAAGATGAGATTCTAATGTTAAAGTGACCTTGACAGATCTACAACAACACAGACCCAAAGACAAGTAGAGAGTAAACCCAAGGTGCAACCTGAGACTGATTTACATAAAGAACAGGAGAGAACTGAGGCCACAGAGAGGAGCTCAAGTTCTCCAGAAGCCAAGCTTAGAGACGCAGAGGGCACTGTCTGTAGTCAGAACTACAGGCTGCATGACAACAGAGCACTGGAGTTTTCTGATGGAAAAAATTCACATAATGTTAGGGTTCATCAAAAGGAATGTTCCATGCAAGAACCAACAGCACATTTCTATTCTATATTTTATAGCAGGTTCAGATATTAAAAACAATAGAAGAATAAAAATTGAGTTGTAGAAGAAAAAATAAAATGGATTAGAATTTTGACATCAATAAAATAATTCAAAAGTGGGGGTTTAAAGCCTGTTTTTAAGAATATGAATGGTGTTTGTGAAGAGAACATTCTTCATGTCTACAAAGGAGCAAGGAAAGCTCAAAAGCCATTCAAGGAAAAAATAAATAAGATTGGCATTAAAGCAGAGAAGTTTCATTGAGATCCAAGGGCAGCCCTTTTTTTTGGGGGCGGGGGTACCAGGTATTTTACTCAGGAGCCCTCAGCCACTGAACCACATCCCCAGCCCTATGTTGTATTTTATTTAGAGAAGAGATCTCACTGAGTTGCTTCGAGCCTTGCTTTTGCTGAGGCTGGCTTTGGATTCACGATCCTCCTGCCTTAGCCTCTCAAGCCACTGGGAATACAGGCGTGCACCAGTGTGTCCAGCAAGGGCAGCCCATTCACCTGTGGGGTGAGAGATTCCATAATGGGCAGTCATCAATGGCCCCGGATATTTTCAATAACAGAATAGCCCATTCTTCAAGGAGGTAGCCATCACAACACTGAAACACATGGGTTCTGGGGCCAAATGACCTTGTCTAAATCAGTGTGTGATTCAGGCCACATTATTTAATGTCTTGTTTCCTTGTGGGTAAAATGGGGCAATGATGATACTACCTACTTCATGGGGGTGATGGTATGTTAAATGAGTATCTCTGAGGCACTTAAGACAGTGCCTGGCATGCATTATTTTTCTTCAATGATCCAACATTTTTCTGAATGCAAGGAAGCCGAAGAGCCCCCATAAGCCTAGCCATTCATCTGTGTATTCTATACATATGTACTAAGAGCAATGACCTGGGTGCCAGGAGAAGGTTAGGAACAGTCTTGGACCCATAAGACAGTGTGTCCAGGGGTGGTTCTTTGTGGCTCCTGTTGCTGATTCTGTGAATGAAGAGTTTTGGGGCATCTGTATCAGCTGGTTGACGGRGAACCTTGCCTTCATAATTGAATTAGAGCCAGTTTAACTGCTTTGTTTGTAAGGCATTAGCTCACTTGAATCTTCCTGATTCAAGGGGTGCAAGCCTCCAAGGTTGTCCCCTCTTCAGTCCCCAGCCCGGAGTAGAGCTGTTGGAATGGCTTCTCATCAGGCTGGGAAACCTAAATTAGGGCAGCTCACCTGGTGTCATATGTATTCCATTGCTAAAATCCTAAGTTTTAACTTCCTTTTTCTGCTCTGGAGAGCTTCGGTTTCTTGGTAAAACTGGCAGGTACCCTGGACAAGGAAAATAGCCACTGGGGAGCCCCCTCAGGCCAGGACGGCGGCTGCAGAAAGCCTATTTCGCTTCTGTAATTAGACATGAAGCACAGGACTAGAGCGCAGCTGGAATTGCGAGAGTGGACCAGTGCGTTTGAAGAAAATAAATGTTTCCTTTATCAGTGATGGGCCTGACTTCAAGGTCTTTTTAGATGGTGACCAGCTAGCTTTCAGAAGGAATAGCCCATAATTCAAAAACTACGTGTAGAGAAAAGCGGGGAGGGGATGCTATTCAGACTGAAAGCCCCCTAGATTTGGCAGCTAGAGGACTATTCCCTGAGGCTATTAGAGAAGCACCGATTTCCAGAGCCACAGAAAATCCCCAACATCCTGAACACCAGGCAGGTGCACAGCCCCCTGTCTTTTGCTTTGAATATTTGCAGGGTTAAAATCCTTTGACCCTCCTCAAGGCCAAAAATGAGATGGATAATCCTTAACAGTCAAGAATGTCTTCTTTGCACCCAACTCCTTGTGAAATCTCCTTCTTCACCAGAAGTTCATTTCCACATTTCTTCCTTTATAGACACAGGACTTTGTTCTTTGTRTGCAGAAAGTCCATCATCATGCTGCCCCGACATTTACTTATTGAGCACTTACTGAGCACAGAGTACTTTTTGCATTTAGTCTGGTCTTGATGGTCTTATCTTCATTTCACAAAGAAAAGGAAGCAAGATACAGGGAGAGCAAGTGACTTGTTCAGACACATCTGAGCAAGTGGAAGATCCAGGAGTCTAACTCAGATCTTTAGTCTGTTTGTCTGGAGCTGTTTCCACCATTCATCTTCCCTCTCAGGTCTCAGCCCTCTTCACAGTAATRCTGCCATCTTCCTTCCTTCCTCAAATTTGTGCCCCCAAGAACCTCAAACCCTGAGTCACAGCTTCAACATCAGGGAGGCAGGGGCCAGGTCACAGAGGGACCAGTCCGTGTGGCACTGGTGGGCTGCGCCTGCCTTTCCCGTGTTGCAGGGTAGTCCCTCCCTACCTCTGATCACACTTCTGAGCCCTGTCCTCCCYACAGCCACAGTGAGACGGGTGGGTCAGCCTGGCGATGATGTTGAMTACCACGACGAGAATCTCAGATAGGGACCAAAGTCAAGAGGACGGCCCTGTGAACTCCAATTCCTTTCCAGCCACTTGGGCTTTGGTCCCCAG